GCCACCTGTTATCTTTGTCCGTCCGCTCATTAATTAGGGGGATCCAGTGGTTGGTGACCTGTAGAGAATACAATGTCAGTCGTCGGACAATTACTTTGATTCTGTTGAGGTCAGACGATGGATTGCGATTGGCTGTTATGGGGGGTGCAGTGCTCACACCATGTCCATCGAGTTCCTTTCTCTGCACATGTGTGGTGTGAACAGGACACACAGAGAACAATGGTTACCCAGCTCAGCAGACATGGTGTGAGCGAGCTATTACTGCGCATGTCAGGGGAGGACAGAGGATGGAGATGAGGGCCGGGGTCTGTACCTTGTCTATAGAATTCTTGTTGTTTACAGCGTACACTATACAGATGACGTTCGCCTGGAAGTAGAGGAAGACAGAGATGGGTGCACAGGAAGTGAGGTCACTCCTGACAGTGACACAATACACACAGCAATTCCTTACCCGGGAGATCTCATTGTAGAGCTGCTCATCGGTCTGTTCTGACTCTGGAGAGAGAACATGACACAGTGTCATCCCCGTCCCTGGTACACACTGACATGACACAGTGTCATCCCCGTCCCTGGTACACACTGACATGACACAGTGTCATCCCCGTCCCTCCGCACATTATCCAGAAATCTTACCAGAATAATCCACGATGTGTGTGGGGACTCTCTCTGGGGTCACATCACCCGGAATGGTGATCTCCTCCGCCCGGGATGGGACCTGAAACACACAGCAGGACTTAAAGAGGTGATGACAGCTGGGAAGACTCCGCCCCTCTCGCCAGGCACACAGCTCGGGTGACTCCGCCACTCTCCCCAGGCACACAGCTCGGGTGACTCCGCCACTCTCCCCAGGCACACAGCTCGGGTGACTCCGCCACTCTCCCCAGGCACACAGCTCGGGTGACTCCACCCCTCTCTGTGCACAGTGCTTGTACTAGGGAGACATTACCCTTCCTGCACAAGCCATGCACAGTGCAGCTCCCAGCAGCCACAGGAGAACATCCCCTCAGTGTGTGTTTGTAGAATGATACAATCATATGCTCACCTCCTCCGGGAATTCCTCACTGACCAGAGACATGATGAGAGACGTCTTCCCCACCCGGGCTGGAAACAGACAGAGACATGTTAGAGTGCGATCCCCCCAGGAGGACACCACAGATATACATAGGGCCAGGGGCCCCGAACAGAGATCTCCCC